TTTACTTTCAGAAAGGTACAAAAGGCATGTGATCACTCAATCAAGTACTTATTATTTTGTTTTTTTTTGTTGTTGTTGTTGTTTTTTTTTTTTTTTAATTTTATTTTTTTTACATACTTCTCTTTTTGTTTGTAAATATATTTGATGTTAAATTAGGCTCAATAAGTATAGAATAATTCTTCGTAGAGCTTTCATTTTTACAAGTTAAACTATTGAATCTAATATTTTATTTATATAAATTATATACAGTAAATACCGAAGTGATATGTGACATTTGTAACTGTGCAAACAAAAAAAAAGTTATATTTTATATTATTTATTTAACAGTTTAAAATTATGTGTTATTATGAAATAATTAAAAGTATTCAATTAACTTGAATTTTGGTGTACATAATCTACAAAAATATATTATTGAATCCAACTGTTTTTTTTTTTTTAAATGAAAGATTTCAATTTTAATGGCTGGTTTGATAAAATACAAATGGTATAAAAATTATGTACAGATGTAAGTTACAGCGAAACTTTGATGCTTAAAAAACAACCCAAAACACACATTCAACTAAAATCCACTATTGAGCTAAAAACTAGAGAATTGAATTAGACCTCTAAGCTGCTATTTGCTTTCAGTTTGAAATAGAACCTAGAATTCATTATTGTTATAAAAGAATTTTTTTCCAAAGGACTAGAACAAGTTTAGTTGATTCTCAATTTGACAGTAAAGCATGCATTTATAAGTTCATAATAAAAGACTTCAAATAGCAACACTCGAATTAGGCATCTCGAGAAGTGCTAAAAAATTTAACTCTAGAAACTAAGAATGTTAACAGCAAACACACCTAGTTTTATGGTTCAAAACATAGCTAAGAAAAGATACCAGTACAATCCTTTCATTATATACATGTTCTTCAAGTTTTCAAAAGGGTTACACAACAAAACGTAAGGTTTTCCTACAGCAGCCCATTTGCAATTCATAACACCAAAAAGTTCAAACGTTCAAGTAAAAAATCAGAAAGCCAGGACTATGTCTTGGGCAGAGTTCAAATTTGTCTTATGAAGGTTTGTTAGACTGGCACTTGAACTAGTAAATGCTTCTAAGGCTCCTAAAATAAGTATGCTGCTTTTAACTGGTTTAATCTATTACAACAGGAAAACAAACCTCCATAAGCTGTGAGCCTCAGTAAATATAGCAATAAAATTAACATAGTTTAAATAATATAACACAAACCAGCCATACACTGATGCTAATCTAGAAAAGTAGTTTTTCTGCCCCACGGTACAGGATCAGTTCCATCAAAAGGGCTCAATAACACTGAATAGTTAAGTCAGGGATTTACCCTAAACACAAATATTTCAAGCTTCACATAAATAATAAGGAACGTAAACTTTATGTATGAATTTATATTTCCTTATGTTCCTGAACAAATTTTTGGTAACCATTCCGTCAGTGTACATCTCACCAAATCCTTCGACCAGCTAAAAACAGCACAAAGGTCTAACATTCCAAACCAGCTTCAATTAATTTTAGGAGTCCTTTCAAAATTCTAAATTAGCTCCAATCAACTTTAATTAGAAGCAACCACAAATAACTTAGGAGTTATTTCCCTAGCCATTAGCATAGTTCTTTTACTTACTTCAATCCCGATTAACTTTAGGAGCAGCCCCATGTTACTTACTTTAGGAGCTCTTTACAATAGATTCAAAAGTGCAGAATGCCTTTATGATGCTTATTCATTGCATTATTTAAATTCTAATCTACATAAACATGTATATAAGCAAAATAATATAACTGCATAACTAACACAGTCCATTCTTTCAAATATTTTGCAGATTTTCAACCAGAAAATCATCTACAACAAAGTTTAAGCATGCAAAGAAGAGAAGAACAACTTTAAAGTAAATTTCTACTCTTTAATAGCATTGCATGTCTAAAACCCATTTTTTTTACTAAACTTATTCCCTTGCTCAATTTCATCACAAATAACTTCAACAATATAATTCTAAATTAAGTTGGATTAAGTTGAATTAAAGCTAAATTTACCTTACTATAACCAAGTTCAACAAAAGCTCTCCCTTAAACCTTTCTCAACTCTGCTGCTGATTCTGGGCTGCAAAAAGTCCCTCATTTTTCTTTTTCTCGTTTGGCACCTGAAAATAGGAGCAGTGAAAATGAATTCAACTAGTGATTTGAACTGCTTATACATCTAGACAAAGTAAGTGGAAATTTAATAATTTCCACTAGCCAGATCCTTCTCCTTCTAATAATCTGGTAATGTTGCTAAATTTACCATGCAACTGGGAGCCAAAAAATCCAGTTTCACTTAACTACCTAAACTTTTAGACATTTGACAATTTAAGGCTAGAGTTTCACCAAAACTTATAATTTAGGATAGGTGTTGCTTCATTCTCCCTTAAAGATTTGGTCCCCAAATCTAAAGCTAACCTTCAAATAGATGAGGATACAATTTTTTAATCAGTTCTTCCATCTCCCAGGTAGCTTCATTTTCAAAATGAAATTACCATTTCACCTTAAACATGGGAATGACTTTGTCTCTCATTACCTTTTCTTTTCTATCAACAATTCTTTCAGGTCCTTCTTCATTGCTTAATTGTTCTTGCAAACCAAGTAGGTTAATTTTGATTACATGCCTTATTTGGAAAATATTTCCTTCCTTAAGAAACACAAAATACTTTGTTAATTCTGGACAGGTTTAGTGGCAACGCAAATTTGTATGCCACTTCACCAACTTTCTTCAGAATCTCAAAGGTCCAATATACCTTCAACTCAACCTTCCCTTCAAGCTAAATTTGTGCACTGCCTTGGTGGGTGAAATATTTATGAAGACTCTCTTTCCAACTTGAAATTCTAATGGTATTCTTCCAGTGCTAGCATATTTCTTCAGTCCATCCTCAGTTGTCCTTAATCTTTTCTAAATTAATTTAACCTACTCAGTTGTCTTTTGCACTATTTCTGGTCCAAACAACTTTCTTTCTCCTACCTTAGACCAACATATAGGTGTTCTACATTTTGTTTCACACGGGCATCAATTGGAGCCATTCTTATGATATCATGGTAGTTATTATAGCATGCAAATTACACCAAATGGAAGTGCTCTTCCCAACTATCAGGCATGGCCAGTGCACAATCTCTGAGCATGTCCTCCAAAACTTGAATGGCTCTTTCTGACTGCCTATCAGTTTGTGGATGAAATGTAGTACCCATTCTCAATTCAGCTCCCAGGGTTTCTAGCAAAGCCATCCAAAATCTAGCTGTCAATTTGCTGTCCTTGTTAGAGGCAATTCTAACAGCTGCACCATGAAGCCCAAATATCTCTTGAAAATAAAGAGCAACCAAATTATTCAAATCATTTTTCTTTCTAAATGGGATAAAATAAGCAGACTACGTCCACAATTACCCAAATAGCATTGCACTGCTTCTCAGTCTTTGCTTCGGTAGTCCAAGCACAAAATCCATAGTTACATCCTCTCATTTCCACTCTGGTATGCTTGAATTCCTCTACCAAATTTATGATGTTTGACCTTCACTAACTCACAAGTTAACATCCTGCCACAAAATCTGCAACATCTCTCTTCATTCCATTCCACTAGTAATAATCCCTCAGACCCATGTACATCTTTGTACATCCAGGATGTATGGTGTACATGGATCTGTGTGCCATTTACAGTAATTCCCACTTCAATTTACTGTCATCAGGAATGCACAATATATTTCCCATTCCATTCATACCATCAGAGGACATCTATAGCCCAATATTCTTCCTCTTTTCTTCATCACTCAACCACTTTTGTAATTGGGAATCATTTTGTTGTGCCTTCCTAATTTTTTCAAATAATTCTAGTTGCAAACTCATATGAGCTGACAACACCCCTAGGTTGTTAGTAATTTAAACTTTCAAATTTCTCAACTCTTCCAACAACTCCCACGCTTTAACCCACATAGCAGCCAAGGAAACAGATTTTCTACTCAATGCATGTGCCACCACATTAGCTTCTCCAAGTTGATTCATGATCTTACAATTTGTAATCATTTACATATTCAACCCATCTTCACTACCTAAGATTTAAATCTTTTTGAGAAAAGAGATATTTTAGGCCTTGGTGGTCAATAAAGATCTAAAACTCCTCCCCATAGAGGTAATGCCTCAAAAGTTTGAGTGCAAAAACAATTGCTACCAACTCCAAGACATGAACTTGATAATTCCTTTCATGATTTTTCAATTGCCTACTTCTTTAGACAATCATTTTTCCTTGCGGCATTAATACACACCCCAACCCTCTAAGTGAAACATTTGTATAAACAGAAAACTTCCCCTCTTTACTAAGTAGGGCTAAAATATGTGCTAACGCTAATCTTAGCTTAAGCTCTTGAAAGCTAGCCTCACATTGGTCATCTCATACAAACTTGTGATCTTTTCTAGTCAGCTATGTTAAGGGTTCAAAAATTTTGGAATAGAAATGAACAAATCTCCTACAATAATTGGCTAAACCAAGATTCTAACTTCATAAACATTAGTTGGTCTCTCCCAACTTACCATGACTTCAATCTTACCGGGTCAATGGGAATTCCCTCTTCAATAACCATATGCCCTAAGAATCCTACTACATTAAACCAAAACTGACATTTATCTAATGTGACATATAGGTCATTTTCCCTCAACCTCTGCCATGCAAGGGCTAAATGTTCTTCATGACTTTTCTCATTCAGGGGGTGAATTATGGTGTCACATATGAAGACTATAACAAATTTATCTAGATATGGTTCTAATACCCTCTATGCATAAGGTCCATAAATGTTGTTGGTGTATTTGTTAGCCCGAAAGGCATAACCAAGAACTCATAATGTCCATATCTAGGCCTAAATATTGTCTACACAACATCCACATCCCTAATTCTCAATTGATAGCAGCTTGATCTTAAGTCGATTTAGAAAGCACTTTAGCACCTTGTAATTGAAAAAAAAAAAAAAGATCATCTATATATTTTGAGTACAAGGTACGTGTTCTTAATTGTCACCTGATTTAACTTTCTGCAATCTATGCAAAGTGCTAGGGAACCATCTTTCTTCTCTACAAACAACACTGAAGCACCATATGAAGAAACACTCGTGTAAATAGAACCTTCATCCAATGATTCTTGTAACTGTTTCTTTAACTCAATTATTTCTATAGGGGCTATCCCATATGGGGCTGTGTTATTGGTGCTGTTTTGTGCACCCAGTCAATCATCAATTCTTTCTCTCTCCCTTAGAAGGTAATCCACCTAGTTCTTTTAGAAAAACATCCTCAAAATTTTCCACTACCTTGATTCCTTTCATACTACTAGGGTTGCTTTTAGTTTCAAAAATATAAGCAAGATATCTTGTACAACCTTGTTTTAATAATTTTCCAGCTCTCATACTAGAAATCATTATAGGATTTGCATGTAAATCCTCACTGCTAAATTGAATAATAGGTTTATTAGGAATCTAAAAGGTAAACTACCTTATTCAAACAATTTAATATTACCTATGAGTTGACAATCAGTCCATTCCTCATATTACATCAAATTCATATACATTAAGAAGAATCGGGTAATCCAGCATAAAGTTCCCATTAACAACAACACAACATCCTTTATACACAGTATAAAAGGACAAAGTAGCTCCAAAAGGCAAATTAACGACCAATTCATAATCCAAACTCTTGGTGTTAACATGAAAATATGCAGCATTCTTGGGAGATACAAAAGAATTAGTTGGCCCTAAGATCTATTAAGATGTTAGCAATTCCATTTCAAACATGGAATTTACCTAGAATATATCTGGATTCCCTTGGGTCTGTCCAGCGAGAACAAACACCCTTCCCACGACTTTTTGTTTTTTTCTCTTTTTGCTATGGTTTAGGACAATTTTTGGCTAGGTGACCCACTTTGCCACACTTAAAACATGCCCTTTTCTGCCAATTACAATCTTTGCCTTCATGCTTTTTGTGAACATACTTTGCAATTTTCCACCTCTACCTTGCTGTTGATAACTCCCTTCCTTTTTCATTTTTGCTTCAATTTCTTGTTTTGAGGCTGAATGTTGAAATTCACAGTTTTTCCCTTATCTTTCTACTTACTAGAATTCCCTTTCTTCGTATCACAGTATTGCTCAATAACTTGTGCCCTCTTCATAGTAGCAGAGTTTTTGGTCACTTTTTGTCCTACAACCTGACTTCCAATACAAGTCTTCTATTCCCTTATAACCTTCCTCACCTTGGTTAGCTTATTGGTCACCACATGGAGAACAAACTATACCAGATCACTGAACTTGGCCTGGTACTTGTCTGCTGTCATCTCCCCCTAAGTTAAACTGTTAAACTCTTCATTCTTTTTGTTGAGAGTGGCCTGAGAAACATAAGTTTCATATAGTTATTTGATGAAACCTTTCCAAGTTATCACCTCCCTTCTTTTAACATAACCTTCCTGAACAGGCTGCCACCAGTTCCTAGCTTCACCTCTAAGCATAAAAATAGCCAAATGAACCTTATGAAGATTCTTACATCTCATCACTTAAAAAATTAGCTCCAAATCCATTACTCGTTCTTCAACTTTCTGGTGTCCTAAGTTCCCTTAAAAGCAGGTGGATTCCACATTTGAAATTGGTTCAGTTTAGCTTGCTACTCAGGGTCATCTTCCACCTGCTCAGCCTCAGCTAGTGTCTCAATAGTTATAGCATGTTCCCCTTGTGTGTTTGGCTACTGATTCATATTCTGCAGTGTTGGCTGCACCGTGTGCTGCACTATAGTCTATAGAACTTCCAAGGTATTCTGAGGAATTTCACCAACCCTAGGATTTCATGGCTGCCCATCACCACCACCACCACCAGCTCCAATTAACTTTAGGAGCAACCCTAGATAACTTTAGGATTGATTTCAAAATTTCAAATAAGCTCCAATTAAGTTTAGGAGCAACCTCAGATAACTTTAGGAGTTCTTTGCCTAACCATCAGCATGGGTCTTTACTTATTTCAGCCCCAATTAACTTTAGAAACAGCCTCAAGTTACTTTACAAGCTCTTTTCCATAGATTCAAAAATGGAGCATGCCTTATGATGCTTATTCAATGCATTATTTAAATTCTAGCTTACATAAACATGTATATAAGCAAAATAACATAACTGCAGAACTAACATGGTCCATTCTTTCAAATATTTTGCAGATTTTCAACCAGAAAATCATCTGCGACAAAGCTCAAGCATGCAAAGCAGAAGAGAAGTCCAACTCTGAGGTAAATTTCTACTTGCATGTACTTTAATAACACTGTATGTCTAAAACTCAGTTTCTTTCCTTTTTTCTTTTTTTTTCAACTATACTTCTTCCCTTGCTCAATTTCATCACAAATAATTTTAACAATATAATCCTAGATTAAGCTGGACTAAGTTATATTAAAGCTAAATTTACCTTACTATAACCAAGTTCAGCAAAAGCTCTCCCTTAAACCTTCCTCAACTCTGCTGCAAATTTAGGCTTGTAGAAACTCCCTCCACTTTTTCTCATCTCATCTGACACTAGAAAATAAGAAGATAAGTAAAAAATAAGTTCAACTAGTGATTAGAACTATCTATACATCTCCAATTAAAATCCAACAGATAGCAATAGGTAATCGGTTGGTGAATGACAGATGTTGATTGATGTAATCATTTGGCTTTACAATGGCTAGCAGTTACTTTTTGATGTTAAATGACTAACAAAGGCATATTTAAAAGTAATTAAATGCCTTTCTATTACTGAAATAATTAATTTTATAACAATAATAAATAAATAAATAAAATATACAAGTGTGAATGACAAACTCCTTTCTATTTTTAAAAAACAAAATATTATATATTATTTTAAATAGAGCCAAAACAAACTTTTAATTATTTTGGTTGATTAGCAAATTTTTCTTAGTTAAGTTAATATAAATTTTTTTATATAAGCTAACATAAAAACTAAAAATATAATAATCACTTAATGTTGTTAAGAAGAAAAAATAAAGTTGAAATCAATTAGATAATTAATAATTATAGAAGGTGACAAAAAAATTAATAATTAAATTGGATAAATTTATTAACAAAATTAAAAAACTTCAATCCTTTAAGCAGTTTGGTACAAAGCAAACCTAGTTAGCTTTTTAATTTGCATGAATTGTACTCTAACCACTATCTACTAATCTAAAACCCCTAAATGAAAAATTTTACCAAACACCTACTTCATAACGGTGTAGAAATAAATAAATTACTAAATATCTATCCTATAACCATTTTGGACAAGACCATTAGCCGCTACCCCTAAACTGCAATACTTATCAAACCCTAGAGAAAGTCAGTGGAATTTTAATAATTTCCACTAACCAGATTCTTCTCTTTCTATTTTTGATGTAAGATTACTATACAACTGAAAGCTGAAAGTACAGTTTCACTTCACTACCTAAACTTTTAAGAATGTGATAATTTAATAGTAGAATTTCACTAAAACTTGTAACTAAGGAAATGGGTTGTTTCAGAACAATCAATGCATCATTGATTTTTATTTCTAATTCTTCCCTTCTAACTCATTAGAGATGGGGCTTTACTTTTCAATAATGAGAAATTTAAAATATATTGAAAATTTTAAGAAGGATAATTTTGGTAATTAAATGTTTTACATACAAAAATTATATTAATTTAACACATGGCATTCTAAGATGTAAATATGTTGTGTCATTACAACAATCATTGTCTATAGAAGAAATTAAATCATGTAAAAGAGAGAAAAGAAACTAACAAAAAGATGGATTGAAATATTACTGAATATGTTAAAATTTTATATAAGAAGTTTTTATTTAGAGATTTAGGCAACCTACAAACTAAGAAACCCTAAATCTAATATACTAACAATAATATTTTACTACCATCAGTCATGTGGTCTAGTGGTAGAGTTACTTGTGCTCTTAGCTACAGATTTAGGGTTCAATCCCTAGTCTCTATGTATACAATAATAATAATAATAATATTTTATTTGTCCATCTAAAAACTCACATATATTACACTGAAATAAGAAAAGTATTACATCCCATATAGGTCCTTAACCAAAGATAAACAAAATATGACAACTTAAAACAAAACAACTAAACAAGAAAATAAATCAGCTGGAACCACCACTGCAGCCATAGAAAGAAGATAAGGAATCTCTTAGGTTGTGTTTGTGATTGCAATGAAATTCTGTGGCAGTGGCTTTTTCAGTATTCACTATGAGAAAAATTATGTTATTTGTTTGATAATTACTCTGAAAAGAGTCTTATACATTAATATGATCACTCAATTATACAAAACATCAATTAAAATTAATTTAATCATAACTAATTAACAATTTTATGAGGTGTGTGAAAAAGCACAGAAAGCAACTCCAAACGCAACTGTAACCTCATAGAGTTGCACATCTTCCTCTACACGATAACTATCTTTCAGCATGTGCTCAACACCACCAACCCCAAAACATAGTAGGAAGCCGCAAGTATAAGCAAGAGAACTTGTGAGGTATTGCTGCATTGAAATGCTAATCCATATCACCTGAAAATCCTGGAAACTTGCTAAAACCACTGCAGCCTTGAAGAGCAATCACCAACTATCCTTATTAAGGTATAACCCCCACAACAGCAGCCCCTTATGCATCCAGGTTCTAAGATAAAGGAATTATGCCCTAAGACAGCAAATAAATCCCCCATCTCATGGGCCATAATCCAAAAGCACATTACCAAGAATAGCCCCACTAACAACTCTCCAAGTAAGACCAGCCACACGGAAACTAATAGAAAATGAGTTTTTTTGGGATTTTCCAGCAAAGGACAAAAGGGAACACGCTAAGATAAGTTGAGTCCAGAAAGTACCTCACCTTGCAGTCATAAAAAACATTATTAAAGAGCTAGCTACTCCTCTCAATATATGGACTCCACAGAAACAATCTCCAATAAACCATCTAGGTTCTGATATGCATAAATATTGCCAAAAGCAATAGAAAACCCCTGCAAACCATGACCTAGGGGAGACTACTCGCCAAAGCTTCGTACCAAAAGCAGCTACCCTATCTGCTCCCCAATGGGAACCAACATCCCCAGACTCAACATAACAAGAGAATAAACATGTTTTGATTTTCTTCATTGAAAAGGAAATCGAAAGGAAGGCTGTAAAATCCAACATGACAGAAACCTCCTAGTGCCCGTAAAACAGCACCTCTCCAACTAGTAAGCATACCAAAGCCATCCTTCAAAAATCCATGAAATTTAGGATGGACATCTCCCAATAAAATCTCAAGAGACATCCCAAGTTCAATAACCATTTCTGTAACAAAAAGCTGGGATCTGGGAAATAAAGCCACCTTTAAGACTCTTTAAGTCGAGCAACCTCAACATCGGCTTTAAGCTTCAGAACTAAATCAACCATACAAGGCAATCTAACTACTGGGAACCTCTACTGAATAGAGAAGTAAACTAGCACAATCCCAACAAGAGAAATAATATAGATAAACAAGATATCCCCTAATTTCCGATCTACTACAAATCCTCCAACCCATTTATCAATTATATACATCAATTGGTTCGGCCTATGATCTTGATTTTGGGAACAAAAACCAACATGAAAATTATGACAACCACCAAACATAGTCCCTCAATTCAGTCTCATATATAAGCAATTACGCACCAACACTAGGCACATCAAGGTAAAATTACTTGGGCATTCTAAATGAATAATCACCTGAGAAAAGTAGGAAGCCAGTCATTCCTTCAAATGTGTATAAAAGAAAACCTTCTGTACCTTGAGTACACAATTGCAGACAAATCTTCAAAGGGCAATCCAACGATGAGTTAGAGAACATTGCTATCCTTACGGTTTGATAAGATGAAACAGATAAAATTGCTTAACCACGAGAAGGAATATAGAATCAGATACTTATTTGAGGGCTTAGGATTGTCAATTGAGTAGGAAATACAGCCAAATTTATTTTGGGTTTTTCTAAAAAGCAAGAAAGAAACGGGAAAGCAAGGAAAATTGATGAAAATCAAAGGAGTCAAATTGAGTTGGAATATATACAGGAGGTGCTATGGTGGAAAAGATGGAGAAATCAGTGACTGGAGCCCCCAACGGCGACCCCATCTAGCAGGTGGCTTCTTTAATACAAGCAGTGGAGACGGCAGTTATAATAAGAAAAATATCAAAAATCCAACATCAGTCAAATCTATTAATATTTAATAATCACGGTTCTAAAGAGTTAAAAAAAATAATAATAATAATAATCACGGTTCTAAAACCTAGCCCGACCCAGTTGCTTGGACCAATTCAATGAGACTTGGGTTTCATTTGTGGGTTCATTTGTCCATATTTTTTAGTATTTTAATTTTTAATTTTTATATTTTTTATTATTTTAAAAATATATAAAATATTAATTAAAATAAATATAGAATATATTTTATGTTTTTTAAAAATATTAAAAAAAAATTAAAGACCTTATAGCTATAACTACTAGCGAATATTATCAATAAGCTTATGTTACACAAAGAAGTCAGATATAACTTTTGATCCTTCTTTAAAAAAGCCTAGTCAAACCCGCTCAACCCGGCTCCAGAAAGGGATGGTAATTGCAATTTGTTTTTACAACTTGACTAACCATTTTATAATTACTACTAATATAATAAGGGAAAAGTATTCGTCAATTAAGGTTTTAATAAATTAAAAGGAAAAAGAAACTAAAATTATGTCATTTTAACAAATTTTTATAGAAAAAGACAAAAATAACTTATTTTTTAATTAAGATTAAGTTTGTTTTGGTTTTTTTTTTTAATAATATTCTAATGAAATGACTTAGTTTTAAGGTATTTTTTCTCTAATTTTTTTTTTGAAATCTAATGGATAAACACTAATATTATATAATAATATTAATTTATAATTGAAATTGACTTTTAATTCATGAATAAAATAGTTAATTAAAATTCATATTAATTTACCAAACTTCCATATTAATTCAAATTTTTTGAGATAAATATGATAGAGTAATTTATTAAATCTTCATTAATATTTTTTATCTTTATATCTATAACTATTACTATTATATCTATTTTTTACTTCAAAGGTTTCCTCTCTCTCCAATGCTCATATTAGAAAAGTTTTAAATCAAAACACAAAAAATATACATAAAGCTCATTTTTTTAGTATGTAGAGACTATAAAGTAATCACTACATCTATTGCTAAGAATACAAATAACTCTACGACTAGATCACATAGCTAATGATAAGATATATATGTATATATAGCTTGTTAACATTAATCTCTTAGTAATTTTTCACTTATCTGTACTTCAATGTCATCTCTAAACTTACTCTCATATATTTTACAATTATATTTATCCACCACCTATATTTACCCTCACTTTCTCCCTATATATCGATAATTTGTTTGTTATTTTCCCTTTTTCCTTTATCCTCTCACCATATTATTTATTTTTAGTCATTTCTTGCACCTCCATCAATCATATATTATCTTCTTCATCACCATCAATCATATATTATCTTTTTTATTTCAATTTCCTCTCTCTTCCCTTATCTGTATTAGACATATTCTAAACCAGAACATAATAAACACAACTTAACATTATTTCATTGATACCTGTTTACTTGCCCACCATTATTCCACTCTCATTAATTTTTCTTACAACACTATCTCTTAACTTAATCTCTCACATTTCCTCACTATATTTATCCCTCTAAACTATATACACCCTCATTTTCCCTCTCTATATTAATAAATGTTTTGTTATTATTCTTTTGGTTCTTATCCTCCCCTCTCTATTATCCTTTTTTAGTCACTCCTTGCATCTTCGATTATCATTAAAAAATGAATTTTTAGATGAGCCCTCTAAAAGAAAATTTAGAAAGACGACTTTGAAAACACTTTTTTTGTTTTATGATGTGGTAAGAATTTTTTTTCTTTTGATCATCAAAAAACAAGCTTTATTATTTGGGGTACAAGAGTTATCCCTAACCATTCAAAAATACATTCTTGCACAACTAATCAAAACCCACAAAACATATGGCCTAGAAATTACAGCAAACAACTACGCAAAATATAACCACACACCTCTGCTCTAAATTAAACTTGCACTAGCTATTGTCTGTTAAATTGCTTCTGTAGATACTTATGCCTTTTCACAGCAGCAGCACACTCATCCAGTCTTAATTTTTAGTTAAGAAATGAGAGAACACATCCGGCAACCTTATTTTTTATCCATGTAAAGGTTTTAACTTGCACAGCATCCAGCATCTTCTTCCCAAAGTTCCTCTCCTTGTTAAAAACCTCAGCATTCTTCTGGTACCACAAAAGCCAAACCAAAACTAAAAAAAAAAAAGATCCCACCTCCTTCCCTACACCCCTCCCTAAACCACGCATAAAATAATCAGCCAAACCTCTAACATTATTCGGCAGCACCCCCTCCAATCCCCACTACTGCAGCACCTTCTGCCACACAAGCCGGCATGCCTCTTTATATGTACAAAACAAATGATTATTCTCCTCCATCCCCTCCCTACACAAAGTGCACCTCATCTCCTCCCCTAGCAAAACCAATCCCCTCTTTTGTAGATTAAACTTTAATTTGTAGCCAACCTATTTAAAAATAGCTACCATCCAAAAAAACTTACTTTTGATGGTATCAACTTGCACCAAATAAACTTGCACAACCTACCATGAAGTAGGCACTCAAATGTTTCTAAAAACTCATAAGCCTTCTTAACCACATAACATCGGCTCCTATTATGTTCCCACCTCCACCTATCCTCCTTATCCTCCTTGAATCTCACA